CGAGTGACCTTCTAATTACCCACTAAATTTACAAAGCATGAACGATGGTTGGTCGTAGGGCCGCAGGCGACTCGCTGGCTTCATACCCGTTAAATGTGAAGGTGAGTTGTGTATGAACACAGGCTTTGTTAATTGTGTTTCCATGGATATAGACTTGCTTTTTGTTTTGTTTTCATCGATCTACAAACTATAGGTGTTATCTATTTATCTACAATTTATTTATTAAAAATATAATAATATAATAAATACGACTTTCACATATCCACTTAAAAAGTGCTCAAGGCGTAAGAGACGGAAACTTGAAAAATTGCTTTTTGTTGCACATTTAATCTGAATTTATGCTGGATCCCACTGGGGTATATGTATCAGCGTGCATCATCGATCTACAAACTATAGGTGTTATTTATTTATCTACGATTTATTTATTAAAAATATAATAATATAATAAATACGACTTTCACATATCCACTTAAAAAGTGCTCAAGGCGTAAGAGACGGAAACATGAAAAAAAAAAAAACTTGACTGAAAAGCGTAGAAATTAACCCATGAAATGTTCTGAGCTAGAACCTAAAATAGCAGAAGAAACCAGCATCATTGTTTTGTTTACCAGCACTTTGAAGCCCGCGAAGAGAGCTCGCTGTTCACAACTCACAAAAGCTCTAATGTTCTCTAATATATTTCTTTAATAAAGATTGTTTAATTGGGTCAATGCTGACAGGACAAATTTACACCGCCATAGTACTGAAACTAAATAACAATCGTAATAAATTAATTTATGCCATGTCTTGCCAAGGGATAAAAGGAAATATTATTTTTTAAACTGTTGCTTTTTAGGTCCATAAGTTAGCAAACCAAAACCTAGTTAGACTCCGTAGGTAGTAGTATTCACAGCTATGCTTGTAATGCAGCTTTGTAGTACCAGCCAATCTGCATTCAATTCTACTGTACAATATCAAACCAAGTACTCATTTATACTGTACTCCCAGGAGGAGAGAGATAAATATAGGCCAATTGCCTCGCCCGAGGTAGAGACAAACTTTAAATGTTGAGAAATCCTATCGATTAATACTGTACTTTTAGTCTGAGTTTTACATAAAATATTGGGAATGCGCAGGTCTTTGTTTATTTTTTGAAGGTCTTTGTTTTCTTGCGAAAATGTTTTGATAATGATTTTGGCTCTATTGCGTGAGTTACGATTGCGTGGGCATAGTGTATATATAAACTTACATGTCTTGTAGTCTGTGTAATTAAGGTATTGTAGCCTACAGGTAACATTTTCAAATTAGAATCTATAGTGCTTGCATTCACGGACAACACTTTGAGATTGCATCACTAACTAGTAATTAACCCAGTTGTGTTCTGTTTCCATTCTACATTTTGCGTAAACATAGGGTAATGTGATAATCAAATACCATGGTAATTGTATAGTAATTAATGATTACATGTATTCATTTCCCATTTGGAAGGTATAAATGACTTTGTTGAATCATCCAATTAGGTCACTGAGATGTAAAAGTAGGCTCCCAGCGGGAGCGTGTGTCTACTGCCTTGTACAGGAGTTTTTAACATTTTATCTTACTGTATGTTCTTCAATATGCAGATGTATGTATTATTGTAGTGTATCTGGATTTTTCATGAAAATTTTCTTTCATAACAATATTTTGTATAGGCCTACTACTATATTACACTAAAAACACTTTAAAAATGAGTAACTCGTGTTACCACGTAATGTCGTTGATCACGAAGAGTACTACCATGTTCTAGATGGCGTCCTTCAAATGACGGTAAAAGGCGTTCGTAGCGAACGCATGCTGCGTCTATAATGCGTGTTCGAGTTTCGAACGCAATTTTGTTTGAGTTCCGAATGCTATTCGATTGTCAATAGAGCGCCCCCTACCTCGTGGTAGTACAGTAGTACCCATCATGCCTAAACCGAATTTACTCTTTTCCGCCATCTTTAATTGCTACATCATGACATAGTGTCTACGTCCCCGTTGGGGGCAGTAGACACAAAAATAATGTTTGTGTGTGCTGAAAATCAAAATGTAATAATTTCCTACTGTTATATTTTTCCGTATCAGAATGTGTGTCTTCAGTACAGTAATACAAATATTGCAGGAAATTTCATTTCAAATTGTTACCAGTAGTCATAATTCATAATTTCATTTTTTTTATTACGATAAAGTTATTTTATCGTTTCTTATTTTATCACCATCATCACCTTCAGAATTTGTGTCATGCTTTGAATAAAATATTACAAGAAATTTCATTTCATATTGTAATCATAGTCGTAATTCATAATTTAATTTTGTTTTTATACAATATTGTGATTCAATTTCCTATTACATTGTTCCTTATTGTATCACCATCATCATCTTCAGAATATGTGTCATACATTGAACAAATTAAGAAATTACATTATGACCATAGTCATAATTCATAATTTAATTTTGTTTTTCAATTTCCTTTTACAGTATTATTTCTTATTGTATCATCATCTTCAGAATTTGTGGCATAGGCCTACAGTTTGATAAAAAATATTGCAAGGATATTTCATTTCAAATTGTTACCATAGTCATAATTCATTTATGCTTTTTCTCAACTAGAAGAGATGGAAAACATCGAAATTGAAAGAAATTCCTTAATGTACAAATGCTAAATTATACCATTTCTAATTTATGAACTGGACTTGTATTTTCAACATTTTAACTCCGTTAGTACATGTAACTTTAACCAGGCTTAATCCAAATGAACAAATTAAAACAGCAAAATTAAATCATTCTAACCTAACATGCTATACCCTTTGCAATATGGGTAATGCAGTTATTATCATTATCGTATCATGTAGCGTTTTGTCCTTGAGTACAGTATTACCAATATGCAGGGACATATACAGTAATGTAATAACTGTTTTCCCAGTTATCTTCAGATTTTTGTGTAAATTAAACATTTTGTACATTGGAAATTTGTACACTTAGAAATTATTATATTCTTTCTTTTTTGTCTAATGCTTTTATATCATCTATACAGTAGTTCTGTATCTTGTTTTTGTTGGGGGACCCCTTAGCCTGAAACAAGCCTACCAGCTTAAAGGGTTATCCTCTGTTATCCATTTTGACTTATATTGTCAATCTTTTGTTTTTTAGGTTTTGTAATGATTTTTTTATTTTATAATGCAAATTGATTCTGTGTTTTTGGAATGGATCAATAAATATTATATACTTAATTGCTTTGATGCTGTTGAAAGATTTTTTTGATCCTAAAAAAAAAAAATTTAAATTTAGTGATGCAATGCATTGCAATGTGGCAATTTTAATTCTTGCGATCCAAATTCATAAACAGTTAAGCTCTGTCCAGTCTATTTCGTGAATACTTACCTGGATAAACCGACTAATTGCCTATTCTTTCTCAAACATGTGAACACCCCTCGAAAACAAAATGGAACCGTAGGCCCTGGATTGGAATACCTTACCTCGTTATTTACGCGTGTTTTTGGATTGTTAATGTTATTGTCTGGAATTTTCTATTTGGATTCAGAGAAGATGTCTAAGTCAGAGTGTTCTCGCTGTAGGGGGCCCTAAACCTAGCCCCAAGATTGATAACCATCGAGATTTATGCCCTCTTTGCCGCTCGTGCAGTGAGGCTTCCCCTTAGTGGGATTTGTGGGTTCGGCTTCGCCGCAGGTTTCGGCTTCTGCCGCACACGCAGATCCTCCGGGGGCTCCGGAGGTGAGTGGCCCTTCGGCCTTATCTCCTGAGGTTTTGGCGGCTATTTTCGCGACGGTGCAAACAGCTTTGCCAGCGGCTTTGCAGGGTTCTTCGATGCCGCTGCTGCCTGTCCCCATCATCCCCCAGAGAACAGAGTAATGTAAACTATCAAATTTTATTTGAAAAAAATATTTATTGTATTGCCCTTATATAGTCACACATATGATATGCATACTGTTTATATGATCATGATATGATGTCATCATATTTAGGCAAGTCACATGTCTTTGTTAAATAAAACAATTCTGGATGGGTCTTTAACCTTATTTCCATGGCAACCTGAGTGTGTAATTCTTCCAATGAAGTTTTACTGATCATCCATCAAGGCTCTTTAAGACATACACTATACCATCATTGTTTTCCCCCTTGTTTTGCTCACATTAAAACTAGCTCTTATCATTATAATATTGTACTTGATTTACCATAACCATAGAAACATAACAATAGTGCATTTTTATCAGAGTTGTGTAAGGCATCATTAGCAAAACAATTGGTATACAGTAATATCGCAAAGCAAAAATATGACATAATACCAAGGAAGCAGAATCACATTAATATTTTTATAAAGGAATTAAAAATTAGGTTCATTTGAGTAAGTTGTACATTGCCGGTATTAAATACTGCAAGCTTTCTTGCAAATGGTTGACATAATATTGCTGTAGTATTTTTGATAACAATGTAAACTCCATACAGTTTGCATACTACTCTAGGCAGCGTTTTGTAAAATGTTTACTACCAAACTTATGAAAGATTGTAGGCACACGGCCTCGGCCCAACCTAAGATGTAGATACCAGCCCACAAAAAGAGTGTAATCTTCATAATTACGACTTCTATAAATTAGCAAGTTTATGATTAACTCGTCGTGATTGCTTCGCATTCCCAAATGAGCATGCATCGCCTGACACTTTTACAGAAATACGTACTTAAATGCGGTAAATCAAACAGCAGGGTGTCTATGGTCAAGCATTTTTGGATCCACCCTGGAACATACATTCAAGTGACTTTCTGTAGTAGTGATGGTACACAACATGCATCCCACACTCCCAAACTACTGTTATCAATGAATTGGTTAAATTTTTTGTAAATATTTTAGTCAGCTTTGCAGGCCTCCTGAAATGTTCAGTGGCCGGTCTAAGGTTAGGGTAGTACTAGGTACTGTTGAAAGTCCTAAGACACAGTCATTGCAATGAAATGTTTACATCAAGTTTCTTATATTTTTTTTTACTTGAAGCATGAAGATGACCGATGGTCCTACAGAGCTCGGCATAAGTGGACAAGTATTGATGCCGATTCACACGGTCTTACAGAGTTGGCCTTTCCTACCCGTAGAAGACAAGTTCCCAAAGATAAGAGTGCTAATTCTCGAGAAAAATCACCGGAAATAGGTAAGGATCCTCCAGTATTTAAGTAGAGGTGTCGAACGGTGGGGGGAAGGGGGTGGAGGGGGAATCTCAATTAGCAAATTATTAAATGTTAGATTTTTATTCCGGCGATGATTATGGTAGAATATTGTATTATATATTATTTTTTTAATGCCATCATCATAAGCAATAACATGTCAAAATTAGAATTTTCTTTTTCAGTATTGGGCATGTTGTTGTGCAACATATAGTACTATATAAAAAAAGTTCCTTCCAACAAAGATTGGACAATATTATTAATTATTTGAAGCATTTTCATTTTATTTCTGTTAAAAAAGTATTTAATTCTATTAAAAAAGGTTCAAATATAGTGAGATTGTTTTCGCAAGAAATAGTTGATTTTTATATAACTATGTACCACAATATATTTTCTTGTACTTCACATTTATTTCAATTTCAGTTGTCTTCCAAATGGAAAGAATAAGAACATTAAACAAAATACAATGTTAAACTAATTAATTAGCATTGAATGTGGCAATATTGTATACTTTAGTACAGAGAAGCCATTAATACTATAAGTATATTCGACTGGTCTGTTTTGAGCAGCTGTTTCTATTCAAACTGCACATGTCGTATTCAACTGGTCGCAAGAGCAGCACAAACTCCTCACAAGGGCGGCTCAAACTCCTAGCTGTAACAAGCTTAACGAGCACACTCCGAGCTCCTCGGAAAAGGACCAGTCGAATACGCCTTATGAATAACTTTTGCAGTCTCTTTCAGTATAACATCATTTAAAGCTTATACTGTGGAGAACATTAATAAGAAAATGTAAATTTTCATTTTTAGGTCACTGTTACTGGTTTTTGGATGTCATGCCTCAATGCATCTCAAAAATTAAAAAAATCAAAATACAAAAACATACAAAAAAAAAAAAACATATTAAAGTTATATGGATAGATCAGTCGAGCCCTAAACAACCAAGTTTAAATGACAATGTGAATCTGAAATATGACCATGAAGTGAGCAGTTTTCTTCAATATAGAAGTCTCTAATTAACACAAAAAAATCATAATCGTATTAGGGAGCAGGTAAACTGAGAAGGGAATCATTGATTTTTTGTTGTATGGTAGGAAGTACAGTACAATAGTAAGCATTCACCTTTCGTAGCCATGACACTTGTTATGTCAGTACTTTGTGCTACTATACACTGTATTAATATAGTCCCTGTACCTTTACACTGTTACTACAGTATTGCTATTAGTACTACTATGGTTTCTTGAGTTTACAGTAAGCCTGCCTCTAGTATAGTCCCACCTCCTCCACCCAATGATATACTGGCCAGCCTTTCCTCGGGCAAAAGCTCCAGGATATGATTTGAATTAAGTAGATTAGCTGATTTTTACAAATATTTTTAGGAATAATCAAAGATTAGTTTGGATTAGGCATGCAGTGTGATAAACAAGGGGAATTTGATGTGTACAGTGTACAGTAAGCCCACCCTCAAAATCGGCCTACTTTTTGTGTTCAGGTGGTGACGGGTGGATGGGCTACCAGAAGAAATATGGTGCTATATCTACGGTCACTACTACCATACATCATACCCCAACTCTATCATTTACCTCATGAATGATAGGATTACAATAAATGATGATATTTTTATAATATTCAGTAAATGTAAATGTTTGACACTGAAGGTCAAACATTTACATTTGTGATGATTCTTTAATTTGTAATAACATTTCACATTTCTTTAACATTTAATTTTGAAGATATTTGTTTTTTTAACCTAGTAACATTGAATAAAATTCAACATTTAAAAAAATTACAAATGAAATTAAAATTGTTTACTTCATGTATTTAAATAAATTTGTAAACCTTCATTCAATTAAATACAACTATTTGCCTTCGCAATTATTAAGAAATACATAAGTACAGTGGAACCGCAATTTTATGTACAGTACGTATGGTGTACGTAAATTAAAGATTTCGTAAAATCGAGGTCGGGTCAAATTGATACGTACTTTATATGGATATGTACGTGCTTATGATGTAAGTAGGTACGTTTGTATGCATGTGACAAGTGTAAGGCCTTGTTAAGATGAACTGTAGTAAAATTTGGCAAGATAATCTTTTAAAATATTGGTAACCAATCAAGATATTTGCGTATTAAATGGTTGTCTGATTGAAGTAACAAAGGTGCTGACTATGGAAACTATTTTACCTCAGTCTGCAAATCGTAACTGAACTAACCCTCGAAAAGAAGTCCGTGTCTGATGCGGTAACACAAAGGCTATTCAACTCTTATCGCCAGAGGTATATGTGTGAAATTATTTTTACCTATTCATAACTAAACAAGCGACACTGGAAAAGAAGTGCGTGTATCTGACGCGGGCTGCAGCATGTGCTGATTGGAATTCACGCTTCTGCAAGACAGTAGCTCATATTGATAAACAAAGCAAGACTTGAGGCCATGACAGCGTGTCGTTTGATGCTCCCCGACTAATGCATGGGAAAACAAGCAAAACTTTTGCAGCTGTCCATGGTTTAATCAATTGTTTTAATCAACTTTTGGCTTGCGTTTTTTGCTTAAATAACCGTTACTTCTCAAAATTATGATTATTAAATACTGGACTAATGATGAAAACACAAATAAAGGAATTATTTCACAAACTAGAAAGTTTTTATTAGCATGTTTGGTGTTGAAAATACCGATATTCACATTAATCGACGACGTTATTGGTGAGATGAGGTGTACATAAATTCGAGAAATTGTAAAATCGAAGTCTGTAAAATCGAGATTCTACTGTACTGTAATACCATTTCTTTACATACTTTTAAATTTCCCAGTAATCAATTTAATGTCCATTGTGAAAACTCCGTAAATCTATGTAAACAAAATTGTTTTCACTTTTCATAGAAGTTGGCAAATTTTTTGCAAAGTTACTATAATACTGAAGGTTTTGATTTAATAATTAATTTTATTTTAATTTAATTTTATTTTATTTTCCAATTTGAAGATTAACATAGATAGTACAAGTGTATCAGTCAGATAAAACTTGCAATGCTAATATTCCTAAGCATACTATTCTACTTCAAATTGTAATTGGATCATTTTACACCGATACCATACATTCCCATGATCCTTTGCAACTTGCCATATTTTTGCACGGCAAAAGGATTAGAAGTGATCATTAAAATGGACTATTAATAGCCATGTTGTTGAATGTCAACAACGTTATGTGTGTGTTATGTTCTCATTATCTTCCCTCTTTCCCACCACAAGCTATCTAATATTTTAACTAACTTCAATTTTTGTTTGTCTTTCAAACTGTATTTCTTTATATTTTAAACATTTATATGAGTAACGAATTTCCATAAAAGAATGTAATAAAGACTTGTGTCTGAGTCTACAGTACTTTATGTGGTAATACAACTCGGGTTTAGTCATATTTACCATAGTGACTGGAGAAGGTAAAGAACTTCATGGTCCAGAAAATGGCAAGCAGAAATTATTTGTGTACTTGCAGTAGGGGTGGCATATGGTGTACTGTACACAAGCGCATAATATATTGTACGTATCAAAAATGCAGCTTGTAAATTTTATAATTTTGTTAAGGAGCTTTTTTGTTGCACGACAATAGTAAGATCTAGAACGTAATGATGTCACATACAATCCACTGTGCATGCGAGGAAGTTGTTTCTACCGAATTCTAGGATGCAGTGTGGCCTGGATCTATGTTCTGAGAATGCAGAATGGTCACAGATTTTTTTGCTCAAGGTTCACATCAAAACTCTGACCTTTTGATTGTCCAAACCCAGACTGCTGCACCTTGTCATGTCTTACATTATGAAGTACCATGATTTTTTTTTGTTTCCTTTCTTTTTACGTTATATTTTCTGCTTATTAAATATTTTTTAATGTATGTATAATGATGATTAACTACTCTAATATTTGAGAATTTTACATATTTCAACTTTCTTTTGTCTACTTAGGTGTTAGTACCGGGTCATATCGTCAGATGCATCTAAACATGTTGAAACGAGCCTCAATCTCATCTAACACAAACTCAGATTACGGAAGTCAGAGTGCACCACCAACTGAACGAGGTAAAACATTGTATTTCAGAAATATAAATGGTTCTTTTTCAAACCATTCCTGGTCCAGTGTCGTTTTTATTATTTGTGATCAAAACACATAGCTGACATTTTAAACATCCTTTTAGAGCTGTCAAGGTGATTGATGGACAGGTGCTAATTTTGTCTAAACAATGTAAAATGTCACTCTTAGAATATTCAAAATGAAATTTTATATATTGCTAAAAATAGCAATATTGAAAAATCAATATGTTTTTAAACATTATATATAACAATTTTGGAAATGTTAAGTAACATTTCTGGTATTTTATTAGTAACAGTTTTGAAATGTCAAGTATTTTTGAACTTAAACATACTATTTTTACTTAAATATAACAGAAAAAAGCAATTGCAGTTGTTTTCCCATTTAAGATTATGTAAGTCGTTAATTTGTATTATTCATTCTCGATTTTGTGTTTTAAGAATATAACCATAAATCCAAAGTATTATGAAGGATCTATAATAAAATCTTCTTTCTTTCCCCTCAAAAACTGTATATTTAACATAGTTCACCAAAATTATTTTTGTAAAATGTTTACTTAGATTCATCTTCATTCATCACATATCAAGTACATGAACTTATTTGCTGGTTAATACTGTAAAACCTTGAATAGAATTTTGCTAACTTTAGATGGACTTCTTTTCGAAATGGGTCTATTTTCGAAATGGGTCTATTTTCGAGGCTCAAAGTAAAGATGGGGGGCCAACCATGCTTTAGTCGTAGGACTACATCAACTTTTTCTCTAAATGTCAAAACTAAAAGAGCTCAACCACCAAGCGCATAAAGGCTTTTTTGCATAATGCTCTATACAAATTTAACTATTATTTTTACTATTATTTTCAAAATGTAGTAGGCCTCCTCCTACTACTAGGCTGTAGCCTAGCCTAGTTATGAAATCATTGCACAATTTTTCCTGTCTGCATGCACCGAGCAAAAAGGGAGTCAGTGACTGTATTCTCTCTCGAATGCTGAAATGGATGTGAAAAGTATCTTGTATATTGTATGTTTATTTCTTTGACGAAAGTCTTTTAAAATAGCATTACAAACAAGTTCTTTCTAACAAAATACAAATTACTGTACTGCTGATGTGTAGTTAATTAAACGCATACTGCAGGAGCAAAAATCAGCATAGGCACAGCTAAACGTAAATACGCACACGTATCCTGATCATATCACTATAGCAACCGATGACTGCTACAGCAGTTGGTTATAAAAAACTAAAATTAAAAGACAGCAATTGACTTATAGAGCAATTAGAAGAGCATGCATCATACTCTAAATGGAAAATTATTATACTTAGGTTAGATTTAGTGCATTTAAAAATTTCCTTCGGGCCTTGCAGGCCCTCAGGAAATTTTTCAAGCATTAAATCTAACCTTCGTATAATAGTTTTCCTATAGTGTACTATGCGGAGCTCTACTATTGCTTATTATTTAACGGAGACACTTGAATCACCCATGGCCATGCAAGGCCATACATAATTAGAAGAAACAAAATTATTGAAAACAAAATGAATTAAAGAAAATAACAAAAGCACAGCATCTTAACTATCAGTGAAAGTATCTCCCCCTCCCCCACCTGGCAAATACCAACCCGGTATTTCTAAGTTCAAAATTTGGTGACTAATATTTCACACTCTGCTTTTTTCGAAATCCTGGATACGCCTCTGATAAAGCACTTGGAAGAAATGAGTTTATGTGTTTACCCTAGCACATGAATAATTCTGCCTGATCTACTGTAAGTTATATTGCTGTTCAGATGCAATGTGAACTTTCCAAGATAACATTAAAGCTATACTGGTTATTGAATACAAAATCAATCATATACATTGTACTCCGATAAAAAGACCAATGTTTGTATTGTCCAGAAACCAATTCCTTTCTCAACCAATTATATTATACCATGTTCCCATTTAATACTCCAATGTAAATTGAGCAACAATTGTTAGGCCTAGATAAATTGCCTGTCCCTAAGGCAACTTGCAGTAGGACCTGCTTCAAGCCTAAACCTACAGCTTTTGGAATGTTTGGAAAGACCTGCTTGTGTGCCACTTAGTTCGATCCACATTTTTTTTTTTAACTTGCATATTGCTAATACAACATCCTTACGAAAAATGATTTAATATTCCTGTAAGCGATTGTTGATGAAAACTGTTTATATAAAAAGGAAGAAAAAGAAAAAAGTTGATCCCCCAAAATGCATCAGAGGTTATTTTTGGGCATCAAAAAGCAAAAATTTCGTGGGGTATGCCCCCGGACCCCCTAAGGTGTTGTTATCTCGATTGGGCCCACTTTCTGTCCCCCTTTTAGGACATCTCTGGATCCACCCCTGTTCACTGCTCCCTAACTGAGTATACCTGGTCATCCTGCCGTACACAGCTGTCTCTTATACACATCTAGAAGGCAATAATATATCTATGTATAGTACTGTAGTAATGGTGCACTGGATGAGAAAAAAATCTGAAAAATAGGCTCCCAGTGGGAGTTTGTGGCTACTTCTAACTCTTCCCATCCACGATTTCTGCTTTGACAATTCACATGAATGTACGAGTAACCAGAAACCAGAGACAGTGTTGCTGTAAATAAGAAATGCTTTTCTCTTTTTTTCATACAAATTGCAAGCCTTTAAATGTTGACAATAACAAAACTACTATATTTCTGAATGTACTGCTGTTCGTACTTGTTCATATTAGACGCTCGGTAGGTTTATAAAATGCTTTAAGACTTACATTTTTTTAATTGTTAATAATGTTATATAATGATTATCATTATACTTATTTAACATTTTTCTGCCCTCTCTTTTCTTCTGCCCTCTCTTTTCTTCCCCCCTCCCAGAACCCCCTTCAACTTACCACCCTGGAGATTTCTACCTTCATGAAAGTCCCAAGAAATCAAAACCAGCAGGTTCACCAATCCCGTTAAAACCAACTGTAGCGAGGTCTGCTGGGAAACGCAACGGTCGACAGACATTATCGCCAATAGAGAAGAGCCCAAGAGAGGAAACTGATGACTGGGACCAGTCGTATGGGACGATGAGATCTGATGATGAGGACTTGGATTCTGTAAGCATCTACCTTATTTAATTTTTTTTGGCTGGAAAAATTGTTCAACTGCATGACTGGCAGTTAGAAGAGTCATGCATGCAGAGGACTAAAAAAAATCTTTTGATGTTTCACTATAGGCCACTGTTGGGTTAGCTATGCGGGTAAAGTTTGGTGCTTGAGGTATTTTTATAATAATTTTAATGGTCGGAGGCTCAAAGATGTTTTTACCAAAACTGAAGGAAGATGTAACAATAAATACTATAAAAATGATTATATCTTTTCTTATAAGGTAATTTCAACATTTTATCTCAGTCACCGTTTGTTTATTTTCTTTTCCCTCATTTATCTTCGTACAATTAAACAGATGGAGTCGTCATTGGCCAGGTTACGCAATAGTGCAGCTGCAAGGAAAAAGAAGCAGCAGATTGAGAAAAATGATTATGCTGATAGAAACGGTTACCATAGTGATAAATCTAGCTCTCCATCATCTGGCCTGGAAGAGAGTGGTATCTTCAGCATGGGTTCTACCTTCAATACCGAATCAGTTCATGAAAAGAAAATATCGCCTAAGAAGAAAGGGTAAGAAAACACTACAAATGATAGGAAAATACAACAAATGATAGGAAATAAACACAGTAAACATACAACAAATGATTTTATTTGACATTAGATCATTTATAAATACAAATAGATTGTTTTTCTGATGTTATTTTAGTATTACTTTAAAATTGATGCAAGACAATTATAACAAGGATTTATCTTCAATTTCGGATGCACCATAAATATTTTTATGTGTGTCACTGTTGTAAAAGTGAATTCCATTAAATTGAATGATTGAGTAATCCATGATAATTATTTATTTACAGTTATCAATTTATAAATATCTTGACTTTTTAACAATTGATAGTTACTAGTGATATATTAATAATATTGGAGAATATATAGTTATTATTTAATAGATCTATTAATGAATTAATTATTAACTAATAATTTAATAATAGATTAAGATTCTGTATTATTATACTATTGACAATAAATACATGAATTAATCAGTTATTTTTTTAATTGTTTATATTAAATAGAAAGAAAAATAGCACCGATTCGCCTTTCAGTGGTAAACCTGTAATGGCCAGAGTCTTCTCGGCTGGGCGACGAATGTCTTCCGAAAATGTTGTTGAACCGAATCCTTTTGAGTATAATCCGACTAGTGGTGTAACATTTCGAGATAAGCCCACATCGGACGTGAGTGTGGTGGGTCATGCATATGGGCGGAATGATAATGGTTACATCCGGAGCAACTCGCCACCAATTCCAACACATGCTAAGAAAACGAATCCAAGGGAGCGAAGAAGGCAAGGTATGGTATCACATCAAAATTTATTTTGGTGATTTTAAGAAATATGAAGAATCGTCAGAGGAGAAAAAAAAATGATAGGCTGATGCAGGATTTGAACCAGTAAATTTGCAAGTAGCATGCTGATGCTTTTCAAACTGAACCATACGTTCCTGTATTTTAACTTTTGATGTTTTGGTGTGACACATGCCCAAGGATACAGCACAAAATTCCTCCAAAGACTTCTAGTGAGGTCCTACTGGTCATGATTCGAGAAGTATATACAAGGAGACAAACCTCATTTTTTCTGTCCTTTAACATGCACAGAGGCTATAGCACACGGGGGCAATATAATGTGTCTACCCAAAAAGGCGGTGCACTATTGTAGTTTTTATATTAACTGTCCAGCTAAAATACGATAATATTGGTGATATTGAACCATGGACCGAACATCTGGAAGGGTCTTCACATTTTAGGACACGAACAGTGGCTACCATTTAGTTTAGTCCAATGTTCTAAGCAGCTCTCTATATCTCATATGATAATATTTGATGATCTGGTTGATGGAAATTGTTGGGTAAAATGATAAAGTATTCATTGTAATTAAGATTTTTTTAATTGCCATACACTCAATAGCTTTTATACTACATAAAGATTGTTTACAGCGAACAAAATAATAATTATTTGAACATTTTTTTAAAAATAAATTAACTTTTGTGTCTTTTAGCTCAAACCACACCATTGTCAATGGCATCATTCAATCATACAGGCAGTGTAGAACTGACAGATGATGGACAGCTGTCAAACCGTAATGACATTGGTGGTGTCATTGGAAGAGGTGAGATTTGTTGTCTGTACTTTGATTTAAGCAGAATGGCGCTGTGGTGTGGTGGTTTAGGTGCTTGCCTTGTAATCTAAAAGTCCTTGGTTCAGTTCAGATTTAAAAAAACAGTTCCACGTTCTACAAGTTTCATAGACTTTGAAGAACTCATTTAATCAGTGTCACTGGAGTACCCTAGTTTATATATTGTATAAATATGATATTTATATATTGTATTGTAATCATTCCAAAAATACACAAGAGCATTATTTCTCCTCGCTATTGGGTAACATACATTACAAAAGTTCACCAGGGGCAGATTTCCCCACTTTTGAAAAGTGAAAAAAAAAGGAAGAAAAAGAAAAAAGTTGATCCCCCAAAATGCATCAGAGGTTATTTTTGGGCATCAAAAAGCAAAAATTTCGTGAGGTATGCCCCCGGACCCCCTAAGGTGTTGTTATCTCGATTGGGCCAACTTTCGGTCCCCCTTTTAGGACATCTCTGGATCCACCCCTGTTCACTGCTCCCTAACTGAGTATACCTGGTCATCCTGCCGTACACAGTGCACAAAATTCATTCATTGGCACAGCTTCTTACCAATCAATCATTTGTACTCCCGGGTAGAGGGAAACAAATATAGTTAAAGTGTTTGCCCATGGACTCAAGTGAAGCTGACATCGAGGAGTGTTCAAAGCCTGATTGTCAATCATTGCGCAAGCCACTCCCACTGGTACAGTTTTTAATGTAATTGACAATCCATTTCAATCAAAGAATATAGGCTTCAGTAAATCCAGCCGAATTGTACAGTAAATTCACTAACAAAAACACTGCGACAAACAAACGCATTCATACCCAATACAATTAGGATGATTAATGTTAGGTAATAATATAATATAAAGGCTTCTTAAATTGAGTTCTATATTATAATATCTGTGTTGCGTGTTAGCGCTGTGTAATATAGTGTCAGTTGATTCCTCTTATTGTGGTTATATGATATCCTATCTGGAAAATAATTTCTTAATTATTATAGTCTGTTATAACATAACCTTCAACTTAGCTTCAAATCATACAATATGCCAATATATTTTCATTTCATGTAAATTAATTTATCAAAGATACTAGGAGCATATAGTAATAAATGCAGCCTGGTGCACACAACCAATCGATTTCAATGGTGATCCGTTCAAACTTCTGCTCACAGTTACCAGTTATAGATATTGTTTTATTTTATGTCATTTAACACGTTGACTGCCCACCTTTTTTCCTAGTTTCATCGCATAGCGATTGAGGCAAAAAGTGCTCCACCATAATGAAAAACATTCCCATCAACTGAAGTGAAGCACGAACAAAAATACAATATCTGTTTTTAGATCATCACCAGGTGCGGATCCAGAGATGTCGAAAAGGAGTGACTGAATGTGGGGGGGGGGGCCAATCGAGATACTAACACCCTAGGGGGTACGGGGGAATTCCCCCATTGAAATTGTTGCGTTCTAGACTTTTTAAAATAACCTGAAGCGTTTTGAGCGTTTTCATTTTCTTTCTTTCTTTTCTTTTTCTTTTCTTTTTTGTACTTCCAAAAGTAAATCCTGCCCTGATCACTGATAGGATGAGAGTTCACGTTCTGACAACCAGTGCCAGCGAGTTTACATGCAATGCAATTGTGGTATGTTTTAGACATATGTGGATGTGAACTCAAGACTTTGGCACCCCCAGTGAACCCTGTCGGACATGAATTCGCGTCCCTGACAGCGAATGTGTTAACGACATTACATTATAATTTTGTGTCGTTTCATTTCATTTATTCTTCTTAACCTTGAAAAAGCAATAAAAAAGGTAATCACAGAAAAGAGGAAAAGAGGCAGAAAATAAGCGGTCAACAAATTGTTTATTTAACGTTATTTTCATAGTTCATTCTATTAAACAACGTATCCACTAATAACTTTGAAAGGCAATTACTCAAAACCATGTACATTCACTTTCCAGTAACTTAGGCTTAAAATGTCAAATTTCAATGAATGACCCCTCATTTTAAAGATCACATACTCAGGTATCTGAAAATACCAATAACATGAATTTCAATTTTTGCTACAATTTAGCCATTTTGCCACAATATGCCTCATATGAATGTTTTTAAATTTTAAAAAATTGATAATAAAATATCAATATAACTCATGTTTTTTATTAGATATTTTAATAATTGTCTTTTTTGCAATATTTAATTATTTTCACTCCTCTCCTTAAAAATGTAAAATGCTATTGATTTTTTTTAATTTTTTAATTTACACTTAATTTTAGTATGTACTTGGCATGTTTTTCATGTTTCTCCATTTCTGTCTCATGACTATCTAAAGTTGTTTTTCTACCAGTGATGGAGATGACTGAATGAAATTATCATGCTGTAATATTGATCAATTGTTCAATCGATAATGAAGTTAATTTCACAATTAATTTGTTATGTATTATGTTTTTTTTAGTTCATTTCACCTGATTGTATCTAAACGTTTTCTTTAAGGTGTGTTTGGACAAGGTGGTGCGCTTAACCTGGAAAATTCCAATTTAGCATATGACAAACCTATCAGAAAGAACAACTATGCATCTGTTGGGCAGAAAGGCAGTGGGATAAATGTGGGTGGCATAGAAAATGATCAATGCGTGGACGACAGTGATGATGAGGTTAGGATATCTTACTCTGCTTGCTTTTATAAAAAGCTATTATTTCCGTCATAAGATTTTCTTATTTCCTTAGAATGATGCACATGAAAAATACAATTAATAATAATAATAATAATAATAATAATAATAATAATAATAATAATAAAAGAGGTTCAGATATCTTACTCTGCTTGCTTTTATACAAAACTATCATTTCCGTCATAAGGTTTTCTTATTTCCTTAGAATTGTGCACATAAAAAATACAATAATAATATTAATAGGAATAGTATTAATAATAATAATGTGACATTTATATAGCGCATATTGCAATAAACTGCCTCTATGCACTTAACATTATTACCCCCGGTCACTTATGGAACACATCCTCAGCTCCCCAGGGAGTGGCTAGAATCAGGACCTGGTATTTATCTTACCAGGTACCCATTTATGCTTCTTTGTGGAGACATACAAACATGTAAAGTACCTTGCCTAAAAACACAAAATAAGACTTGCACAGTGAGGGTTTCTGCCTTAAGAGATAGAGGACGTGTTATACCAACTGCAACAGTTACTGAATAATGTTTTCTTTTTTGCATAGATATTAACACTATTGTTGATTACCTTTTAGGATTTGCCTCATAGAACTATTTCCAAATTAACAAGCGAAAAAGCAAGACAGAAACAGGAAGAGCTGGAGATGAAACGAGCACAGAAGGACCGAGAAAGAGAGCGATTAGAAAAACTACAGATTGAGAGAGAGTACGAAGAGAGACAGCAGCAGTTGGAAGAAAACCGAATAGAAAAATTACAAAAACAAAAACAGCGCGAGGCAAAGCAAAAAGAGAGGGAAGAAAAACTACGACTGGAAAGAGAACAGAAGAAGCTTGAACGTGAAGCGAAAAAACTTGCAATGGATGAGGAGAGGGAAGCTAGAAGAAAAGCAGTGGAGGAAGAAAGCAGGAGAAAAAAGGAAGCACGACAGAAAGCGGAAGAAGAAAGGAAACGCCAGAAAGAGATACAGAGAGAAAACTTGAAACAAATTGATGCGTTTGTCATTGATGGTAATTATGTTCTTTAGTATTTCTTAAGAGATCTAAAATCAATAAATAATAATAATGTTTAGTATGTAGTGTATTGTAGTTTTATATAGTATGTTATGCCAAAGTCTAAAAGTGCTCGAGGCATGGACAAGCATGAACATCCTTGATGGCATTTGTAGCACGGAATATGGAAGAATAGATACACATGGGCCAAATGTGTACACTGGGTAAAATGTGAATACTGGACCTATGGCTTCTTGCCTTAATTTCTTGCCCATTTTGACTTGCCAAATTGCATTTCCAATTTTACCATTAGTCAATGAATCTATATGGATGCAAACTGTCTTTTCTCTTTGCATATGTCATGGCTGATACTTTTTAGACAGCAGCATCCCACCAGATACCCATTTATACTTCTTTACAGGGAGATGAGAACAGGATAAGAATGTACGTGTTTGTCACGCGTACATTCACATAATTATTATTGTAAATTGGTTCTTCAATGCCTATTAAAAATATAAGCATCTGGTACAAACGACTATGGAAAGTGTATATTAAAGCATAATCGGTTAGAATGTCTTAAAAACTCACTTGTTTTGTTCTCTTTGATTTCATTTTTGTTATTCATTGCCAGCTAGCTTTCTGGTTCTACCAGGACAGGAGGCGCTCGAGACCTCGGATGGCCGAGACTCAACTGGTACTGGACACGGTAAATTTTGACTGATCCCTGGTCAGCAACCAGTGTGTATCCCTATCCTGCCGTGTGGGTGTTGGCTTGGGAGTTTTTTTTTCTTGTTTTTCCAATTTTCCAAAACTTCTAAGGTTAAATACTTCCCAACAGTCTTCGTGGAAGCAAATAAACAAGTGAATAAACACAGATAAATAATCCAAAGAAATTATGTTTTTCAAATATGTGTTTCTTTGTGTGTCATTCATTACAGCTACTGCTATAACTTCACGGCTTTCACCCAAGAGTAATCCCGAATCCCCAACTGAACGTTCTCCCCAAACGTCCTCCATGGTTGCTCACAAGCCTCCAGCCCATAAAAGGAAATCCAAGACGTAAGTACTGTGGTAATTAATTGAGCCTACAGAGTCATTGTAACTAATAACATGGAGGTATTATTGAGAAGATCACTCGAAATTGGACAGAGCTTTAACCATTAACGTCTATGGTTGGATCTTTTTTGGAAATTTTTTTTTTTTTTTGCCCAGGATGACCCCAAAATATTTCAAAAGGATACTTTACCAAATAATAATAATATTTCCAGATAATAACTTTGATGTCTGAAAGATGTATTGTCCCATGCAAAGTACCAAAAAAACATACAAATATTTTTGTTTTTGTCAATTCATCTTTAACTAGGATTATATAGCTGAGGTTAAGATTTTATCAACCAAAATGCATCGGCAAGAGCAATGATATGAATTAAACCCTAGAAATTAGGCCATATTGGCAAAAAAAAAAAAAAAAATTGCTGGCTGATCCTGATTTCTAAATGTTACTCTGATTGGGTAGTTTGGCCTTATTATTATTAACCTCACGTTTTGCTGTGGGCTATTCAGTGTTTACTTTTCAAAATGCTATTAATTTTACCTAAATATAAAACATCGATATTCTTGAAGTTTGAATTACAGTACACATAATGATGAAGAACAGTCTATCAATATTCTCGACCACATCTCACTGTCTGAAACACGAGATCTCGCTCGTAAAATTCACTAAACCTGTCAAGAATATTGAAACTACGATCTATATAAACTCCCTGATTATTTTACCTTTTTCTAATATTAACAAACTTTATCCATAATGTAAACGTTGAACAGAGAGGGATTATATGTGTAAAAGGTTGTCTGAAATTGATATAGCTAGTCTAATGTTACGCTGTCTCCATTATTTTATCAACTTTGATCTAGTACATAGACTGAATGACTAGAGCTCTTATTTATTCTCCTGTTAAAAGCTCAGTAACTAATATGAAATTTTTTTTTAAAGACTTCTGCTTGTTTAGATCTCTGATATTTAAGATACACTGTCAGTACTGAGCTAAAAAGCTTTAAAAATATAGGGTTTTTTTAATAAATTTTTTTCACAGTAGTGGGTGCATAAACTTTTTCACAGTAGTGGGTGCATAAACAGGCTGAACAAAGACCTTCCCAGTGGTGGATTCAAGGAGGGGGACCTGGTCAGCCTGGCAACACCCACTCCCCACCCCCAATTTTTTCAAAATAAAAACAAAAAAAATGGAAAGTTGTATTCAAATTTTAAGTCTGAGAGTGCCATTTTCGGTCATCTAGAGGTGCCATAATCATAAATATTTTAACCTCAGTCCCAACCGTGATGAGGCTGATGTGTACTCACCCACAACCCAGAAAGTCTCTCACTGGGCCAGGAAGTCTCTTTCTGGATCCACCACTGCTTCCCTATTTTTTTAGTACAACATTTCAGGATAAAGTAAAATACAACAAAATACCCTCTAGGATAACTAAAAGTGTGAAATATTGTCGAGAGATAGAAACAAACAAAAAATAAACAATACTATTGCAATAAACTAAATGTTTTTTTAAATTTTAAAGTTTCTAATCACAGTAATAGCACTAACAGGCCAAAAATAAAATGTTATTTTTCTTCGATATCAGCATCATTGCTGCACAATTGGCTCGCAAGACTATAATTAGACTAGGTTTAATAATACAAAAAGACTCCCAATCAAATAGCAAGTATAAACTTTGAATTTCTTTTATATTTAAATATCTATTTAATTGAAGTAAGAATACAAATTCAGCAATTCCAAATATTTAATTTTATTGTGCATGTTTTTATTACCTTAACACTGAAAGATTAGTGTAAATTCCTTTTTTTTCGCAGCTCTTTATTTTTGTGATTTTATAATTTAAAATATTTCGTGACCTTTTATTTTCTTAATTTTACGAATTCTTGTCTTTTTTAACGTTTCCACAAAATCTTTATTCAGGGAATATCAGTTGTATACTAGATAAAAACTTAGCTTTTGATGAACTACCATTCAGTATTTCACAATTTTCACGTGCCCTTAATTTTGGCAATCATTGTTTTATCCCAAAAATCGTAATAATTACAGGCATGTGAAAATAAAAGGCTTTACAGTATAGCTTCATAAGCTACATAAACTTAAACCTGCAATTCCCGGTAAATAAATTTGATATGTCAAAAACATTTCCGCTGAACTAAACATAATCATGTTGCTTGTCTTTTGTTATTAGTGCTACGGAAGTGAAGTCGCCTCCAGGAACAATGCGAGAAGATTTTCACGAGGACAGTAGCGAGATGAAGCCATTTAATAATCCTGATAACGCATTGCGAGATGCACTCTCATACTTGGCAAATGATGATTGGTAAGGGGTTTGTGTCAATTCTCATAAATCTATCAAGAAATGATTGTGATTACTAATTGCTTTTGTATGGAGGAGGGTATTGGTTCATTAATGATAATGTGTCTTTCCCATTATCGTCATTATTGATCATCATCATCTGAGTCATCATCATCCTCATCATCATTATCATTTTCATCATTATCATCATCATCGTCATCAGTATCATCATCATACTTGTCTTCCTAATGATAATAGGTATGTATTTCACATCCATGCTATATCAGTTGCTATTCTGTTAAGTTATATATCAAATTGGTTATTTTTGTAACTTGATAGGGAGATGAAGGTAGATGGATTAAACTATGTGCGAAGACTATCCTTGTATCATAGCGATGTGCTAGCAACACAACTTCACACGGTCAACCTAGCTGTATTAGCGGAGGCCAAGAACCTGAGGTCACAGGTCGCACTGATGGCTATCAAGACCTTTGGAGATTTATTTGTGAACATGAAGGCTGGGATGGACAAGGTGCTTTTTAATAAGCAAATTTGTGTGATGTTTATTCATGAGCCCTATTCAGTCCTCTATGCCCCTGATTGTGTTATTAGATATTTTTTTTTAGAATATTTTCTATGTTTATAAAAGATGGCAAAATTAAATTCCAAAATGTCTTAATTAGTTCATACAGTAACCAGATCAAAATTGAATTATTGCTATCATAGAAAAACATTATTTTACTTACATTTTTTCTCACAGTCTAAAACAACTCAGATAAGATAGTATAATACATATTCCAAGTATCGGAATGCAAATAATTGTGTTGTTTTTCAATATTTCGACATTAATTAATGACATAATGTCAAAAAATATTGAATCTTGAAACGATGGCGTGCATTTTGATACTTAGAGTATGTATATACTATCTTATCTGAGATGACACGGTGGACATTTCAGTCTAATACAACTCCACTCCCTAAGCACCTTGTCTGTATGTTTGTCTTGTGAAACAGTTGTTATTTGCTATTAGCCAGTTCTTGTGCATGTACCTAAATAATAAATAGAATAAATAAAATAAAGTTATAAATTTTCAAAAAATATTCACTGAGGCTGTGCCAATGTTATTTAACTTCTATATTTATTATATAGTTGCAATTGCAAGGATCAGAGCCAATCTATACCACATATAAAAAAAAATAGCAATTATATTACATATGTTATTGTTTATATTTTTAACAATTTTAAAATTATATCTCATTTTAGGATTTGGATAAAATCTGTAAAATTCTGCTACCGAAGAATGCCGAAGCAAATGGCTTCATTCGTGATGCTACAGATAAGACGATGCAAAACATGGTGGATAACGTTACCCTGCAGAAGGCACTGTCAAGTGTCTTAAATGGAGGTAGCAGGTAAGAGCGCCCTCTTACATGATATTCCATCAATTACTATAGAGTAAGATAGCCCTAGAACTTTGACATGGTGAAATATAAATCAATAAGTGTTGAAGACATACTGTAACCCTAAACATTTTTTTTAAATACTTCAAAAATTATATAAAAATGTGCATTGTTCACTTACAGAAGCAGATTTTTACAGACATTTTACAGTGAAAATTCTTTAAAATTTGCTGAAAGAAATTTGAGTGTAAATGTAAAAGATGTGGGAATGGTATTTACCAGAGGTTTGCTAATTGTTGATACAGTATAATGCAATATAATACATATTCATCCAAACATCGAAACAAATACAGATTGCAAAAAAGAAAAGTTTAAAACAGAAAGTAAAGGACCTTAGAGAAACTCCAAGGATCTTGTAAAGTAGAGGCCCATCAAAACTAAAGTTTGTAAAGCTAATATAACACGCTGGAAAGAAAAAAAAAAAGAAAACAATAAACATAAGTGAGAATAGTTTTTTCAGTTGAATGCTATTCAATTTTTAAAATATGTACAGATTATCTTTTTCATTTTCATGTTTATATTAGATTTAGACATTTATTATTGTATACCATGTGACAAAATCATAGATTGTTGGATCAGTAGAAAATAAATGTGTAAAATATTTTCAGCCTTTAAATATATTTTTCTTCATATTAATTTGGAGGTGCATGGGTCAAAAAACTGCTTATTCCAAAAAAAAGAAAAAGAAACACTCATTGTTATAATATCAGTGATAGCAGTGTTATTGCATACCTTCAGAAATTGTGCAATTCATTATTATAAATAATGAATCCAAGGATTAATAATAATATAAGTGATTAATCATTAATTTAAGGGATTAATAATTATTTCCAAGGGATTAATAAGTAATCCGAGGGAGTATACCTACTTGGCCTCATAGTTCTCTAGCTAGAAAAACCAAGTATACTTTGCTTGAATCCTGATGGGAACTTTACATTCTTTCCAATTTTTTTTTCGTACTTTAACACAAAGTTTATATAAAATAATAATAAAGATAAAAAATACTTTGCTTGAATCCTGATGGGAACTTTACATTCTTTCCCATTTTTTTTTTTTCGTACTTTCACATAAAGTTTATATAAAATAATAATAAAGATAAAAAAAATAATAGAGTAGTTGTTTGGATAACATTTACGGACATTTTCTTTTTTTGTGTCTGCAGTAGTCGCAATGCCAATGTAAAGAAAACAACGGCGTGTTTCGTTGAAAGGATTGTAGACAAAATGGGTCCCGGGCGTGTACTAAGCGGTATCAAAGATGTAACGGATGCCGTTTTAATAGCCGCCACTAGATTTACGTTGGATCCGTCACAAGAAACTAGGTAAGTCTCGCCTCAATTTCAAAGGTCATAAAATTGTTACTACCATTAAAGGTCAGATCAGTTACAATCATTAAAGGTCACAATTTTCACATGTTGTAAATATTATTTTACAACTATTTCCAAATTGTTTAGTAGAAAAAACATAGTTGGACTTGCTTTTTGTTTATCCCATCTAGGTGGTCTGTTCTGATTTTGCAGTGTCTGAATCATTTCTGTTTCTTTTTTGTGACAAAGTAAATGAAATAAAATGGAATATGCATGCATAAGATCATGATCTTTGATTCTAGAATATTTTCTGCTTAAAAAAAGTCCTTAACAACATGAAATGTATCTCATGTATAGGATAAACTTTAAACTAAACTTTATAAACTAAAGCTCTCTGTGGACCATTTTTTTTCTAGGTCAAATTAATTATGTGTGACCAGTTTGGAAAAAAAACAAATCAGTGTATACACCCTCCATAATATTCTCCTTGGTAAAATTACCCAAGTTGTGTCGTATAATGGTGGTATCATGTTTAATGAAAATTAAATATCATGTTCAAGAAGAATAACCAGGCCGCTTCATTTAGCTAGAAGAGTTTAGCAGTGGTATTAAGTATAATCTCATTTCATCGGATATTTTGTGCACTCAAAAGTTAGGATTTAGCTCCGTGTGTCTCCAACTACTTCTGAAAAAAGAAATTATAATGTAGTTTGATTTATATAGTGCTTTAAACAGGTGGACTAGCTTGTACAATAACTTTCTTCTCCCTTAAGGGTCTCTCCATGTCTGAGCTACACGGTAAACCGGTACCATCTGTCCACAACAGGGGCTGTATGGACCAATACACCGAGGGAACCCTCTACTCGTCTTGAAAAATGAACTGGGTACTTTTAAGTGCACACAAGCCAAATTGTGTATACTGGGCCTACGGTTTATAGTCCCTGTCCAAGAGGATTTGTTCCACCACCAGAACCGTAGGCGAGCATGTGGTTGAACCAGCACTGATATCATGACTGTAGGTTGTGGCGCTCCAGCACTAACCGCTTCGGCCATCCAACTCGCCTACAATTAATTAACACATTACATGCACTTTAAGAAGTTCCGTCAATGCTCCATTTAACATTGTATTTCATGGAGTTAGGCCCTCTGTAAATACCTGTTGGTTGATTGACTGATTAATTAATTGATTGGTTTTGGTGGATATTTAGTTGTTATTATTAAAATGTTGACGTAATTTAATTGTGTTTCCTCTTTCTTAGGTACTATGGTCGTAAAATATTTTATACATTAATATACCATGAGGACTTTGATAGACTGCTCAACAGATGTGTTCCTGCCAAAGATCTTAATTCATTAAAAGACAGAGATATTTTGGAAAACATTAGAACAAAGGTAAGTGATTAATTATTTGACTGATATTTCATAAAAGGATTAATAAAGCTATTAATTTTGAAATTCATATATCTAATAATGTAAGGTTTTTTTTTTTTAAGAGTTTTTCTGCTCCACTTCCGCAACCCCCTCCCTTCCCCTCTTAACACACCCACATACTTAGGTTCAGTGTACTGGTACTTCATCACAAATGTGAGGCCTCTCCACAAAATGAGTCTCATGGTTAGAATATCATAAATTGAGTTTATATTATTTTTGGGTAGATAACATTATAAGCTTTAATTTGGTCGTTGGATGGCTCACTAGGATATGTAGATCCAGAGATGTGAGCATTTAAATATTATGTGTAAGAGAACCACATTTTGAGAAAATCGGCCTCCAAGATAAACTAACCTGTACAAATAATAGGACTAGAATTACAGAATATGCGCAGAGAACACTGTTTTAGTAAGAAAACTCATACGTGGTAGATTCTGTATAGTAAGACTCGTAAATGATTTATCAGTATGCGTTGTGGGAATCACTAATGATATATCAGCATGCATTGAGAAAGTTCCATTTAATGTCTTTGTCTAAAATTTTGTATCAAAGGTATTAATAAAGTGTTCATGTGTAATTGTGGACTTCAAGTATTATATTCCTTGTACTCACTTTCACTCAGCGGCATAGATATTTTGGATTTTGTATAGGAGACACATATTTCTTCACATGTATAGCCTCAGTTAGTCATTGCATAGTTTTTTTTTTAGATTAGAGCAGTGATTACGTTTTTTAGGTTCTTTTCTACTCCCATATTTGGAATTTCTAATGTTTTTATATTGCATGTTTGATAATTTGGGATAGTTGGTGATGATAAAATATCGTTAAACTTGATGATAAACGGTAATATGTTTAATTCTGTACTCTCTCCCCACCCCTGCCACCTTTCCCATGTCAATCTCCCCATCCCATATTTATGGTAATCCGCTTTGTTTAATTTTTTACTCGTCCCCTACCCATGCAACCTTTCCCTGGTCAATCTTCCCTTCCCATATTTATGGTAATCCGCTTTATCACATAGTTCAAAACACATGATTTTCTTTTTGCAGTCTCCAATGATTTACTCAGTGTTTTCACAAGATTTCTTTGGATTTGTGCCCTCTGATTTTCACTGTCCTTGTTTTTATAACTCTGTCTCTTATATCCATCATTCTCATCAGCAAATCTTACTACAAAAATGTTGCTATTAACGTATTTGTCCTGAGAGTGTCTAGATTTACAGACTATAAACAGCGTGCAATCAAACAGTCATCCCCCTGAAACCGGCTCCCTAAGGCTCAGCTCCGATTCTAACGTCAGATGCAAGCTTACGCTAATCCCGGTGACTGAGCCTGCCAATATAAACATTCTGAAAAGCAATAACGCTACGATGACCAGTAAATCATTCTCAGCACACAAGGCCTAGAAAACTAAACAAACATTCTACTTTGAGAATTCGAATGTTTTATGCGGCTTAGTTAGAAATAATGAAGTTGGCTGCGTGCCATTAATTTTCGTGATCTTGGCAACACATGCAGATATTTCTGAGAATTCTGCAGTTTTTCATTTTCATACTCATATTTCATTTGTGGTGTGATAATTATGAATTCATTAACTTCAAATACTTTGATATTATTTGGGGTTGGTAAAAAAAAAATGGCTTTATAAGCAATATCTGAATAAACTAATATCAATGCAAAAATACTCACCTTGCGTATACAGTAGGCCGAACCCCCTAACTTCTGTTATTTTTAATGGAAATTCTACACTATGTTTACCTGCATGTAAACTGAACCAAGTATGAAATTTAGTATCAAAATATTAAATATGCCTAGCCCTAGAAATAGACCTAGGCTAACGTTTGAGATCTAGTAGCATAGATCTACCAGCCTATTGAAAGCAGGCCCACATTTGTTTTCTTTTTATGGTCCAAGGATATAAGTCGTTAAAACTTGTTATTGTTACTGAATTCGTAGCCCTTGGATTATATGTTAGGCACCTAATTACCAAGTTGCATCTCCATTCATAGGTACTTGCAAATTGCTAGGAGTAACCTGTGGTTCAGACTGGAATCCCGCCCAGGATCATGCAACTTGAAACTGGTTATAATTAAGCTGCAGCCGATATGAGCCCCATGGCTTAGCAAGGATTTATTTTTTTTGTGAGCAATTCAGCCCAGCTTTGAGTCACAGGCTACGCTCAATCACTCAAGTTTATATGTTTAATCATTTCATTGATCTCTTTAATAGGGTATGGGTGATAAGCCCTCTGACACACCCTCTGCGAGAGCAAAACGAAGCGTCTCCAACAGTCGAGTGAATTCCGGTTCAAATAGCCGAGAGAAAACTGGTTCCTCTTCAACAGATGTACAAACTACACCACCATCTTCCACCAAGAAGGGTAAAAGGTCAGCAAAGGTCGATGAACAGTCTGCTGAAAGCATCAAGACGTTGCATAAGGACCTGTCATCTTCCGAGTGGACAGTAAGACTTAAGGGAATTAATACGTTACAAGACATGTGTGTTGAAAACCCAGATCTTATTGCTGGTAATATCGTAAAGGTGAGATATTAAAGATACGCTGTTCTTTAAAAAATAAAAATTTAGAACTTAAATCATTGCTTTAGATATATAATCTGAATATATAATTTCTATTTTGAGTTTTGCATGCTATATATTTTAAGTTATTAGCTTAGCAGGGTTTGCACGGGGGAATTTATTTGAGGAAGCCATGCTCCGGGAAAAAAAACATATTGTGATATGTTGTACAACTAATTTTTCTATGACACAGAAAGGATATTTGACGAAAAAAAACTCGGGAGCAGTTAATAAGATTCAGATTTTTTTGAATATTTAAAAACTGGGAATTTATTCAAAACGAGGCGTTTATTCAAATAAATATGGTAATTCTTATATTCTGTTCATAGAACATTAAATTTCAGTCTGGTCATCAATTTCAGAATTTGTGAAGCGAAAAGTACACGACAACTGAGCCATTTCGAACTGAGTCTCAATAGTAGTTATGATAACATACAATGAAATGAATTTATGAAGGTTCTGTTTTTTCAAACAAAGTAATTATTATTGGTGTGTGAATCATTCCTCACACATTTCATGTAAATTTATCTTATTCTTTCTGACGTGATGATGATTCAAGCTAACAGAGTTCTTTCATGAACGAATTTAAATTGGAATTTCAGAATTTAGGCGATTCACAATTACCTGAAACATCTATTCCATTTCATTTTGATTGTTTTCACATTCTATTTTATTTTTTAGGGAAATTCAAGTCATTTCATCTTCATGTAGCAGTCAATTTATTATTTACTTTGATTGTAAAAACATATTACAATAAAATATTTATTGCTTTGCCTTCAGATAGAACAATTTTCTGAATTGATTATTTTCTCAGAAAAACAAAAAAAAAGAAGATTTTTTTAACATAACTGTTAAATACACATTTTTTTATATGATCATTAACAACTGTGTGTATTATTTTATGAAATATGGAAACATGATTGCCCCCTAATTAAACCAGAATATTTTTAATCAAATATTGGCATGAAAACAATAATGTTTTTCCAAGAATTGTATGCCAGCTACTGTACATAGAGTATTGAATAACATTGGCTAAGCATGTAATTGATATTAAGAAATGCTCAAAACCTTGCATAGTTGCTGTGGCTATTAGTCTTGGAAAGCCTTCAGTACACTGTTTCCATGTGTCAAGCTTATTTCTTTGGTGTGGAATATCATGGATAATTATGAATATTAATAATTAATATTAACTGCTAAATAAATATTTAATGTTGTCATTACTTAGGAGATAACTCTAAAAAAAGAATGACATTTCGACTCCTTGATAGTGTCATTTTCAATGTTGTCATTGTTGTTTTTATTCTTAGTTGAATTGTCATTCTCATCATTGTTTTCACTTGATTCTTAGTTTTATAATCATTATCATATTTTTGTATTTTGAAAAGGTATTCGATGCCTTCATCCTCCGTCTACAAGACTCAAATAGTAAAGTAAATCTTCAAGCTTTGCAGACGATGGAGGACATTGTGCCGAGGCTTGCAGAATACCTGCCCGCAGTGGTGCAGAGGATTGTGCCATCGTTGGCCAGCAATTTAGCTTCCAAAAATAGCAGTATAGCACAAACGAGCTCAGGAATCTTAGATTTACTCATGGAACATGTCGGTAAGTATCCAAGGTTTATTAGGAAAATTTCGCAACTTAAAAGCTGGGACGCTTTGTGTTGTTCAGCAATGGTCAGCCAATGAATCCATCTTTGGGCTGTGCGAATGCTTGATGATGGGAGACTGTCTTATTGCCGGTAGCTGTCTAAGCAGATTGTCGTTTACATAATACTTCAAGTGTGCTTTGTTGAGTTGTAGTCTCTCTGCAATCATGCCGACGATCATCGGCTGACACAGCGTGTGCCCAGGTTCACAATCATCTACGACATCATATCTACATTTTTGTAATTCTTGCCTACAAAATTCATATTTCACGCACCGCAAGTAATCTTGTCTAGGCCTTAGGTAACGAGACTTTAAGATTCAAATTTCTTGTGTCTTACGGTAAGTAAATTTGACAGTTCAGGAAATCATTGGGGATTAGTCGATTATTATTGTTATAAATTTACTCTTATCAGAATCTTGAATTGGTAAATATGTTAAAATGACATCCATTTTTCTTCTCGCTAATAACATAATGGATGATTCTTGTTAAACAAAGGAGTAGGCCACACTCGCAGTGACCTTATCTTAGACTCTCAAAGTGCCTAATCCGGATGAATATATTGGCTTAATTCTCCTTGAAATACCTGAGGATTTGTCGTCGGTGTCTTTTTGCACCTCAGCAAACCATTCAGACTATTTCTTTACGTTTAATTTCACATAGATTATCTATTGAGTATTTAAGGTGAGATATTTTTTTACCTTGTTTTGCGAACTTGATTTTTTCAAGATCATCATGGGAGGGTGGAAAAAGTATTAAAATAAAATGTTTTCTTATCTAGCAAAAACCATCTAGGCAGAGAAAATTAAAAAAAAAAGACGACTTTCACAAGTGCTTTAAATTTATATGATTAAGGAAGACATATAGACATCTTATATTGGGAGGCTCCAAGGCAGCAGTGGGCTCACAGAGCAAGTTATAAAAAAGGGTCTGGCCTAAGTGACGTTACAACCAACATTATTTTTGTGTCCAGTGGTTCAGACATGGATTGATGACATGTTTCGTAATACTTTGTCATACGAAGTAAATCAGTAGACAAAAGCATTGCAGCATCTCTATATAGCACTTTTCATAAATATCAGAGTACCATAGTACATTCAAAAAGTATTATTTTCAAATTACAAAAAATAATATTTATAAAATAACATAGAAAATAAGATTAATATTAGTTGTACAATGTCTTTTGATAATAATATCAGTTTTCACCTACTGTAAGTTTTTAGGTTGGATGATTTTACTTTAATTAACTCATCCTTCAAATCCAATGTTAAGCTGTAGGTCCTATGTACACAAAGGTTCTGTGCAGGGAAAACACACCTCTGTATCCTATCTGAAATGAGTAGGAGGTTGTCACCTAGAGTAATATTAATCAATTCATTGTTTGTGTAATTGTATGTCATGGTGTTCTTTTATTTATTAGTGAAATGGATTGTCGCTTACAGTAATAGAATGACCTCTACAGTACACTGTTTCAGATTAGTGCCATATTGGAATTCTATACATTTTACGTCTTAACCAGCTAATGTATATAAGTCTTAGATTAATTAAGTATTTTTAAACAATGGTGGTTAGAATTATTAGCTTTAGATGGAAAACAACGAAATATCTTCTATTTATTAAACTTCATACCATTCTTATATTCTGTAGACTTTTAAATTTGCTAGTAATCATTAAAAAATTGGATTGTTTTTGTGTCTCTTTGAAAGTTGTTAACTTTTGACGACTAGTAATTCACTACTATGTCCTTACTCCCCTCCTCCCCACCACCACCACAGCCTTGCTCAGTATATCCCAAACGCCAAGGAAGTCTTGTGAGCTTAGAGCTTTAGATTTTGACCTTTACCTTACTATATCTCAGCCAGTCATATGAATAGAAGTTTAAGTATGATTACTTTCAGCAGGCATGCTAGATATATACAGTTGAACTTGCCTAAGTTGAATCCAAAATGCATTGAAATATTGTTTGACTTTTGAAAAAAATTTGACTTGCAGATCATTAATTAATGGAAAAAACAACAATTTGGCATGTAAAATAAGATCGACTTAGAAATTATTGAGTTAGGCAAAGTCAAATTAGGTTAGTTTAACTGTATTACAGGTTCAGTTAATTACTGCTGCAGCAACTCAGCATGATGGTTTAATTATAATAGAGCATTGTGTGTATTCATAATTAAGTTGATTAAATAAAAAAAAATAATGAAACTAATATAAAATAGATAAAGAAATTTAAAAAAAACTAAAAAGTAGTTATTTTAACTCAGCATGATGGTTTAATAGAGCATTCTGTGTACATATTTTTTTTTTACTATATTATTTATTAAATATTAAAGAATTATTTATAATTAAAAATAAGGAAAAAAGGGAAAAAAAAGTAAGAAGTAGTTATTGTAAGTTTGATGCTGCCTGTCGTACGCAAGAAGATTTATTTTTTTATGCAATTTTAATCTTTCTAGATCCAGCAGTGCTAGTACAACCATTTTGCAACGCAACTCAATATGGCAACACCCGTGTCAAACCTCCGATGATAAGAAAACTAAGTGGTAAGTTATCTAGCTCTCAAGTTCAAGTAATTCTCATCATCATTCACATTTGATGCCTCAGGTTCATTTTTTTTTCTTTTTTGATTTTCTAAGAGATACTCTTTAAAAAAATTGCAATCCAAATGGTTATTCAACTTCTTCAGCAAACCTAAGGCATCATTGTATAATAATGTGACCATGACATCCAGATTTCTGAGTGCTAAAAATTTTGACATTTAAATAAAATGCATCTTGACATACTTTTAAGCATAACTGTATATTTTGATAATGAGTTTTTCTGTGTCGTCTGGCACCATCTTTTAAAATAGAAACTATTATAGATTATGAAAAGACTTAATGTATAAATGTTTAATCGAAAATTCTAAAAAAAAATGAATGGTTATGTAATCAAGTTTGATTTTCTGAAAAAATTTTTTCACACAGGCAACACTTTTCTGATATTAAAAATGTTACAAAATTAACATGCTGACTGCCAGACCTTTTTTTTAGGTTCCTTCCTGTATGCCACAACAAGAATACATGTACAAACAAACTTTTTGGAAATTCTATCTAGTCATATATCACTTGCTCATTGCCGGCACTGGGACAGCATTTTTATTTGCTCTGCTAAGTGCGAGTTTTCTCGTCTGCTTTTTGCATGGGTTGGTATACATTCAGAGGGTGCACCCACTCATGCAATCAAGTGTACTGCCGGCAAGATGAACACAACAAACATTATCATCTAGGTGTATCTTCCCCGAACTACCAGCCGTTGAGTCTTGGTTCTACAGAGTATAACAAGGAAGTAATAAGTACGCTAGAATGTTACCCCGATTTTTGACGAGTATAGTCGTCCCTAGCGCCTACATTATAAATGCCCGTACCCGTACCAGTATTTGAGGCATACCATCTCAGTGTACTGTCGCTAACTGTTGAACTGAGTAATTAGCATGAAAATGTGGTAGTATTTTATATCTTAGTACAGAGAATCAATAATATAATAACTGAGTAAGTCAATTCCAGTAAATGACTCATCATTTTTAAGTGTGAAGAATATGAATATTAAAGTTAATTTTTTGATCACTAATGCTAGTTTTGGGATGGAAAGCCTCATTTTATAAAAATGTTATTAACTTGTAACTAAACATGTTTATGCTTGTTTCACACACATATCAACCGTTGCTTTTAATTTGTTGTGTATATACTATTAAATGTGTGATATTAAATGTTATTCTGATTTAGATATGGACTGAATATATCCTGCAGAGAGTAAACTTGCTAAATAGAGGCTACAATAATAAGCAATATAATTCTTACATTTATGGAATTCATCACCCAATACAAATTTAGTTTGAGGTTTTTTGTTCAAGTGAAATGAAGTTTGGAGTAACGTGAGAAAGAAATAGTAAGATAATAATAACAACAATTGCTATTCTGTCCCACAAACACATTTTAGAGTTGCCACAAAATTACATCTAAATTTAAAAACTTTAAAATCAAACTAAAATCCTAGAAAGTAACACAGGACAGAATAGCCATCTTCTAGTTTTGAGTGTGCATGTTGGTGTCAAAGGACAATGCACATAAATACATCATACAGCATAATATTTTATGAAACATTTTCAGTTGTTAGGTATAAAGTATGGTAACTATGAAAGTTATATTAATGTTAGATTAGTTTTAAAGTTGTGCATTTCATCATCTAAACAATGTTTGTGATTATGCTGAAGTTAGCACAATTTTAAAAACATAAGTAAAATTAAACATTAAAATATTTTTGTGTAGGTGTAAAATTGTACTAATTTTACTTTTAAAAATAACATGTTATGTATTTTCCTCCCTTTGACCTACTTTTTTGACACAAAAATATGCCAAAATCTTTATTTTTCAATTTTTTCAAAAATGTCTAAATGTTTATTTTTCAATCCTTTCAAAGGTAGCCAGAGAAAAAAAAGAAAACATTAAAATATGTGTGTAGGTGTAGAATTAAAACCATGTACTAATTTTACTTCTAAAAAAAACTTAGATATTGTATCTTTTCTTCCCTTTGACCCACTTTTTTGATGCAGAAATATGCCGAAATCTCTACTTTCCGATTCTTTCAGAAATGTCTATTTTCCAATCCTTTCAAGATCTGTAATCAACAATCCAGGCGTCTGTTTAATTCCCAAATGTTTGCTTCAAATTGAAAGCCTTGATGATTGGAATGCATGATGAAATAAACCAAGCATTATATTAAGTAGCATATGAAAACGCTCTGCTACTTTGCATTCTTTTTTTGTAATGTCTGCAGGCAAAGTTCCCCCCCCCCCCCCTCAGATTCACATGGAAATGGAGATGGTGAATGATTAAAGTAGTATAGCTTGGTTGGTCTTGTGATCTGAGCACAATTGAGTACGTTGTATTATGGCCATTCACATACCTCAGGATGTTTAACTTTTCCTCTGTTTTGGCTTGCATTATAAAGAAAGAATGATTTAATGAATGGATGAATTAATAAAAGTATGGATGAATGGATGGATTAATGAATGAGTAGGAATTAGTAAATGAATTGATAAATGTGTGTGTGATTTAATTGATTGATTAATATAATGGATTGAATGAATTAAATATACAGTACTGCATATATTAATGTAGGATAAATGAATGAAGACAATGAATGAATGGATAGGTGGATAAATGAAGGAATGAAGAAATGAATGAATATAAATAAATTTGACAGATGAATAGGCATACAAATGAATTGAATGGATAGATGGATATCATTGATTGTTAAATGAATGGAATAGGAAATGGATGAATAAATGGATGCATGTTTGAATTATTAAGCCAATTTAAAGAATTGAATGAAAGTATAGTATAAAGTATAATTTCTAAATTGATAAAAAATAATTAATAAATGCATCCATGAATGTTAAACTAGAGGAATGGAGTGATAGAAGCATGGGTGTGCTCTCATCATACCGTATATCTTCATATCAGGAAGAATTCCCCTGAAAAGAAAAATTATGAGGGCCCTTGCTAGTAGAGATGGGATTGGCCCATACAGAAATGCTCATCACATGGGGCTGATTGTAGGAAATATAGTTTCGTTCTTTACTTCCATTGAAAAAGAGTATCAGAACATGCAAGACCTATACAACTATGTATAAAACCTAATAAAAGTATACGTCTGATCTTTGAGTCCTCACCTGCCTGTTATATGTGTAAGAGGCCTAACGTATATAGGCCTCCTTCACCACTTTCGTTTATATTTTTTCAATGTTTTACCCTTTAATAAATATTTTTGAGTGTAGAGAAAAAGAATAAACTGAACTGAACTTTTTAGATGCTTCAGTTTTTAAATTACTTGAGAGCAGGTTATTGAGAGCGGCTTTTATTATAGAATTTTTAAAATATACCATGTTGTGTTTATTTAAGCCTATCTGACTTGGTACGTAGTATGTAATTTGTGAGAAATTTGTAATTTAATAGTGTTCTGACGATACAAATGCCAAGGCATGTTAGATACAGTAGTATACTCATGATTAATTTGAGCAACATTTACTCAAAATAGAATATATTTCTAATAAGCATTTTGCATTTATTCCAGAGCTGCATTTTCTAAAAAGCAGTTTCGGCTCTTACTTGAGAGTAGTGTATCACATACTGTATTCGAACATTACAGTGTTACCTGAAGTTCCTGATTCATTAGAAAGAATTTCAAACAAACAAAACAAACAAACAAAACAAACAAACAAAGCTTAGTGGAAGAGGATTATTTCAGGCTCAACCTAAATTATATGAACTCATGAGCTTATAACATTAATCACATTCTCAGTTCATGAGATTAATAGACACAATCGATTTTACCTGAACTCTACTTAGGGCAGACAAAGCGACGATGCGGCAGTGTAAGAAAAATATGGTGTTTTTTTTCCCCGATTGTGTTTGCAACAACAGACTTTGAATATAGATTATTGAAATATCTGTTAACTACTTGGGAATGTTGCCAAGTTAAATCTGTAGACATTCTCAGAGTAGTTGGCTGATATTCCACTAGATACTGGTACCAGTAAAATCTTTTTTTTTTCTCAAAAGAATTAGGCACTGTGAGAGACTGACCAACCCACTGCAAGTGTGACCCATTGCATTTCAAAGCTGGCTCTACATAAATTTCAGAGCATTACTTAAATTTCAGAGATTAAAATGCACAGAAAATACGAAAATGTACTGCCTTAACTTGTAATTTTAGTTTCGCAACATTTTCTCTTTCTTTACACTAAATGCACCGCATTCTATACCCAATGAAAGCGCACGTAGTCGTTACCAGCTCAGGGTCACTGATTGCATCTGTATACTGGAAGGAAAATTTGATCTTAATATGATTGTTATACAAGGGCATATTTAAATTCGTCTTTGCTTCATGCCCATTCAAATTTCATCAGACTTTTCGAGTTCATATGAAGTACAAGGAAAACATAACTACATCAGATGTTTTGCCCACAGCAAGAAGGTATTATATAAGTATTTAATACATCCTTGGCTAATTAGATGAAGGTTGGGCTGCAGGCTCTGCACTTTTGCAACATTTTAATTTCACTTGTCTTTGCGGACTTCATCAATATGCAACACCGGAATATATCGCAGATATAACGCAAGATCCAGCGCTAACAATTTTCTCACCTTTTCCAATTTCGAACTGAAGTAGATCTGGAAATTATTTTGTTACTCCAGGGCAAGATCATGAAGTATTATTTTCTGTGGCCTCAGATAAAGTACTAATTTCAACTCGCTCGAAATATTAAGACTAATTTCTTTAATAGCTTTTCCTTTAATATCTATGGCCATTTTTCTGATGAATTTCATTCTCTAATTTACTATACTTGATGATATATTTTTGTTTGCAATTGTTGCTACATTTTTATTCGCCACCATTGCGCAGCCGTGAAATATTGTTTGTTTACATTCCAATTTGAGACCATATTTGGTACCTGGAAATTTCGAGGTGGTCCAATTGACCGATTCGGTGATGTTTCCTTACAGCAAGTCATGTGACATAACTTGGGTATACCATGGAAAACATTACAGTGCGATCACTGTGAAAGTATAAGAAAAGGTAATGTTATGGTCGCGAAAACAACCCCCCACTGTTAACGTGAGAAATAAATGGTAAGGAAAGTCAATACGATTGTTCAGATTAGTATCTATTTACTTTATCCTAGCATTGTATGCTTTGAAATTTAAGTGGTCCTTCATAAAATTTGACTAGCCTTAAAATTGTAGTGTAGTTCATATTTTGAAAACTCTCGTGCATACCTAAACCGACCGTAGATTTGCAGGAGCCTAGGCCTAACATTTGTCGAAAGATCTCAATGTTTGCGGCCATTATCTTTTCGAGCATTAGCAAACCCATAAGTTAAAATTCTCAAACTCAATTTCCAATCAATTTGGTATAGTTCGCTGGGAATTATGATGATCTTTACAGGAATAACAAAGGACGGCCGCAATAGCTATCTCCATCTAAACACCGCTGTGCCAGTCCATTGTTTGTTCATGTGATCACCGAATCGGTCTATTAGAAGGTTAGCTTTGTGTTAAAAAGTGAAGATTGGTAGTTGGTACTTTAATAACGGGCTCGAATTAGAGGGTTCTCAGAATTTGAGGGGTCTCAGAATTAAAGGGGTCTCAAATTGGAAGGTCTAAAAGTATGTTTTTAACATCGTAACACCTAAAGAGATTCATGAAATTTGAAAATTTACCACTATAATTTATTTTGATAAGCTATTTCTGACACCACTAATCATTTCCTTGACCTCAAAAACATATATATAGACACTAATATCACCAAAATATGACTTCAGATAAAAAAGGTAGGTATTTTAACCGCCGAAGGGCTCATTTTTTCCCCGCCCCCTCAATTTTGTTTTTTGGCCCGCATTGTCCCATTTTTCAACCGATTTTCTTTAGAAAAAGTGTCAAAATGTTGAGGACAATAAACCGCTTCATTTAAGACCTGTACATTTGGTATTTGTATATCCCTCTGCCTGAAGTCAAATATAAATTGAAACCCTTTTCTCTATACTATCAACTACAGTATTGTCAATTATAAACATTCTGCTCATGTACCTAAGACGTTTAACTGTAAAGTTTACAGTCTTTGCATGTACTGTACCAAAGGCAGGTTTACTATAGGACAGAAATACCACATTGAAATTTATTGTACTAAAGCAATGTGTTATTTATTAAAACTTAAAATGTATTTTGTTTATTTTGACAATAACCAATGGTTAGTTGTCTTTGTTGTTGGTATTTCATGATTCCATTGCTGAAAAACTCCTGATGGTTCTTTGTTGATTCTGTTAACTAATTAGTCATTATATTATTTACCTAAACTCGGGTGACATTAACAAAGATAGTCAATAAACATCACTCTTATTGAAGTAAGCATGCGGATGCGTGGGCCTTTGAAAGAACTAGTTTTAAAGTGACGGCTAAAGACTATGATTAATGAAATATGTGTATTGAATGTAGATACGTATGCATCAAAGGGAATATAAAGTTGCATTGTGTATACGAAATTGATATTGATATCATCATTAAAGTAGGATGCTTCATCGTAGACCTACATTGTATGATAGAACATAAATAATCTGTAAATGTGTGTTCATAAAAAGTGTGTTTCAAAAATGTGTTTGGAATAAGAAAAGTATTGTCACATTCAATTTCAATTCAATTCATTTATTCGATCAATAATCAACAAACTAAACAGACGTGAAATTCAAAGAGGAACAAGGGCGAAAAAAGAGAAATTAAGACGTTTAAAACTTTATTTTACTGGTATGTCTAAGAGGATGCCCCATTAAAAGATGAGTAAAAAAAAATAACACTCAATAAAAAGAAATTTAGCACCCCCTCATTCTCCAGTTTATCTACCAATTTTCCCTTTGTAAGTTCTCCTTGATACGCCACTGTTACATTGTGTACCTTAAAACTATACCAAACTGTTCTCGACACGAAGCTGCTCAAGTACTAAATGTAAATTGGTATCTTAAAATAGTTAACTACCTTGTAATTAATAGTAACATTTTTTTTCTCTTTGCAGATTTGAGTGCAATGGTGTGGCCCAAAAAGCAACAGTCGATCATCCGCTTCATGCTGCCTGTTCTTGATCACCTACTCAGCAACATGTCAGGCTCTGGTGCTGTCCATGGCGGTACTGGCAATATCCGGGATGCAACAAACGCCTTGGCGAAGAAATTACACAGTTTGATGGGTGATAGTCTATTCCAGCACTGCAATGGCCTGGCACCTAGGCAGCAGAAAGCACTGAGAGAACTCATAAATGATAAATGAAATCAGATCCACTAAGGCAGTACTACAGTCATGCGCGACATGTACCAATAGGTTGATTCCATTATGGTAATTGCATGGTATAGTGTACCATTGTATAGTATACCATAGTATAAATTTAGGTTAATGCCACGACTATACCACCATGGTGTATGTAAAAAGTTAATTTAGGTGGAATTATACCACCGTGGTACAACCATGGGTAAGTATTTAGTTCTTAACATTACCCATATTGTGTGGATCTTTATAGAACCTTGATGATACCACCACCATATAACCATGGATGAAATAATTGGTCCCTGATGGTACCCACATGGTTCTCCCATTGTACCACCACAGTGTAATCCTAAATGAAATATTTATATCTCAACAATGGGTATACCACCATGGTATAACCGGGGACGAAATATTTGGTTCTTGGTAATACTACCAAGGTATACATTTAAGGTTAGTACCTAGAATGATACCATAAATATGGTACAATCTAGAGATGTTTCCAGGTAATATCTAAACTGTCACAGTATAACCATTGATGTAATGCTTTTTGGTTCTGTATGGTACCGTAAGTAATAGTGACTGTAACACAATGTCACCCCATGACTGTTGAGACTGGCAATGGGTCACAAATACTAGTCTCCATGCTAAACTACAGTAGTTTGAATATTAAGTATATATAGCAATACAAATTTTGTAAAGTTCAAAATTGTGCAAATCATCTGATACCCAGCTACCCTCCACTGTAAAATAAAATCGCACATTTAAAGTAGGAAAAATGAACAGGTTTTTAGAAGATACAGTATATTTCTCATATCGGAATTTATTTTACCATTCCTGACAAAAGGTTATCCAAAAATGTAAATTGTTGATGCCATGTCTTTTGTAAAAATAACGAAAGGTATCTGATAGTAAATAGCTGATTTGTGCAATGTACTTAATCCAATTGTTAATAATATAACAGAATGTATCAGTGCTACCACTTTAGTAGACTTAGAAGTGTCATGTGTGCAATCACCTATGTTTGGTAGAACTTAAATACTATGTATTATTATTAATTACAATATTAAATTTACAATAAGCAATTATTTTAATTACTGTAAAATATTAGTTGTAACAATTCTAATTTCAGATACACTGTTTAGGTATGTTAAGCTTTTTTTGTATAATTTTTTTTTCTTTTAAAATAATTGATGTTATGTATATTTATGATGCTGATTGTAAACCCATCCAATAATTTTAACATTTCTTGTTTGTAAATATTAACCTGAAACCTAAGAATACTGTAAAAGCCTTTGTCAAAAGAACACCTTGTTTTAAATTATTTTTATACTGTATATCCTTTTTGAAAACAAGTTGTATAGTTATTGAAAATGTTATTTTTCCTTAGTATAACATAATAGTCACCTTGAGTCTATTTTTCTTGCTAGAAATGTAAATTTAACTAATTAAATTTAGCTTTTTTGTAGAATTTGTCAGTAGTTTAATGATCATATTAATAGTTGTCGATACCAAGCCTTGCTTTTATTATAATAATTATTATAATGTTAGGCTAATAGTGCTATCAAATTGTTATTTGTTAGACTCAAAGGTATAGGCTGGTTTCAGCCTGGGGTGGGGAGGTGGGGGTGGTGTGAAAATTGAGAATACGATTCAATGTCCCTATCCCAATGAAAATTTTAGTGTCAATTTATAATTACAATCCACTTATTTCAACTAATTTGTTGCGATGGGTGTGGGAAAGCATCTGTTTCCCCCTGCAATTCCCCAGCCAGTACCCATGAAGCTTTACAATGTTTGATCAGACATCCAAGAATGTACAGCATTTTTTATTTCTAAAAGCAAACATGAAAAACGCACACTTTGATCAGATTTTGTCAACCTGACAAAATTTAATCAAACATTGCTGACAGACAAAAAAATGATAGTATTTGTCAAGCTTTTAGACTAGCCAAAGGTATGTTTATATAGATTGAGGATGCATGGAGATGATAATTGGTCTTCCTGGTTTTCTATTACATACTGCTACTTTCCCTGCATTGTCACATAGCATGAACCTCTGTCCCCCATATAAAGTTCTATGTGACAAATAACCTGACATCATCATGGCCATTTATGGTCAAATATCAGATATTTGCCACATACAAATCTGTAGTGTGGACAAATTAAGATACTTTGATTGGAGCTGTGACTGAGTGGTTAGGGTGCTCACCTTCATTTTCCAGAGTCCTGGGTTTGAGTCCTGTAAAACCAGATATTTTTTTTTCTGTAATGACTTAAAACAGCTTCACTCCCTAAGCCTCAGATTGAGACTTAGTTTACAAAACATAAAACATGTTCTCCATTAAATTGTTGAGTCACTAGCTGTTAGCTTAGCGTACATTTCAAAAGTTTTATTTGCAAAAAAAGAACTGAAAGTGTGTGGTACAGTAATAAGGCTTCAGGCCTCTAATTTGAAGGTTGGGGTTTCATGTTTGACACTATCACCTGGTCTGGCTAAGGCTAAGGCTAGGCTAGGCTAGGCTACTTCAATATCCCTGTGGCTCTCAATGTGGAGTATAAGTGAGTACCTTGTAGTATTTGAATGACTCTGCAACATTGTAGAACTCGCTTCCATGCACTTCTGTGTGTGGCATAGGTATTTAATTCTGTAACTAGGGTAAAATTAATAATGATAATATTCTTCAGCATTGTGTACTTTAAAAGACACAATATGCATATTTGAGCTAAATTATCTTGAATAATTATCTAATGAAATATTGAATGTAAATAACTAAAAACTTAAAAAAAATATTAATCAAGATAACTTAAAACAGGATACACACTGTGGACAGTGCGTTTCTATTGAGAACACAACGCGACAAGGCGCATGCGATAAATCATTTATGATGATGATCCGTTCACACTGCCGGCAATCATCAGACAGCGTCAAATCGTCAAGCCATCACGGAGAGCTGGGATGGATTTGTTGTACAACGGTGCATGCCTGACTTAAGAAGATATTGGTGTATTTAAAGCAAACAAATGTTGTTGGTTTGATGAATTGTATTGTATTATCTCATGATACCTCACTCCAGGATGCTTCCAACTATTAAAACAGATGAATTTAAAGTCTCTTTCACACATTTAAATGTCAGTACACTTTGTTAAGTTAACACTCTGGTAAGATCCGTTATGCACACATATAAATTCATTTTCACTCCTAAATACAGTGTCTTTATGTAAAGTATTATAGCTAATCCATTTTATCATTAATCAGAAAAATTAAGGCATATTATGAATTGTTAAACAAAAGTGAATGTTTGTTTATAAATTATGATGTTTGCATATTAATATTATAAATTTAAGAATATTTTCTGAAAAGTGCTATTGGATAATAAAGTAGAGTAAGCGTCCAAATTATAGAACCTTGAAAATGTTCACCTTTGACCTTAATAGAACTGAAACATGTATTTGCATTCCGGATATTGCGTCATCATCCATGTAAAGCTAATTAATGATTGGATGATTAAAAAATCAAGTACAGTATTAATAAAGCTCTCCAGTCCATGATCCCTTTGTTAATAATAATAATAATATTTATTAAAGATATATTTTGTGTTGTGAGCAATAAGTAAGTTATGTAGGTAGTATATAATAATATCTGCATCCAGTAATTTGAATACTTCGTGCGTTTCATTTTTATTTAATGCCATTTTTCAGAGGCTTAGGGGGCTAATGACAGTGTCAGGTTGTCCAATCAGAATACTCCTGAGGCTGTATCCCTGTAATACAGTGCATGCTATATATTTTCCTAGACGCACCTACAGTATTAGTCCTTAATGATAAATTTTATAATACGGTATATCCACGTACGGCTTCAGCGATGTAATATCACCTTTGTAATTAACTTGAAAGTATAATTTAATAATATTTTGTATATTTGAAAGTGATAATAATACGTTTAAAAAAAATCCCATTGCAGGATTTGAACTTAAGAACCTCCAATCACTTTCTGGATGCTCCACCAAATTTATATTAAAACTTTTATATTTAAGTTATTATTTTACAGTTGAAAATTTGACAAAGGAATCAGTTTTCCTTACTAATTAACAAATGCTTACATAATATTGCTTGTATTTTATTAGATATCCCTGTTAATCAGTTAATGGATTTTCTAAGTGAAATGAAATGAACCCATGTATCAAATTTGATCAATTATTAGATCCTTTTAAAATATGTAAACCAGTGCTTTTGTTTAAAATTTCGAGGGGTTTTCCATGCATTACTCTTAGACAGTTAATCTTCAAGCCGACTCGAAAGCCTATTTTTCATAAAAATCGCTCCACAGTTGCTACAGCGTTTTCACTGCAATTCTTGCACCGCGTAGCTGTCCCGGACGCAGTCGGGAACGCTCTCTGACTCAACTGACCAATCAACGTCGCGAAAGTAGTCAGCGACGGCGTGTAGCGATTTTTATGGAAACAGGCTTTAAGACACCGTAGCACAAAGAGATGTGAATATCTATAGATCTTGTTTTACTATATTTAAAGCTGGTGAAGTTCGTTGTAGATGCGTGCACAACATAAATGTCACAACCCTTAATTCAGTGGTTACCATTAGTTGTGTGGATAATTTATATAAACCGATTGTTGTGTATACAAGACCTTGTATTGTATAAATATAATCTCATTAATAATAAGTATAATGTATATAAAATGTAATTTTGCAGTGTATTGGAATTGATCAAAGCATCTGTATGTTTATCTTTCGAAGTACATGTTATAGAGATTGTACTTACGTACTGTTTATCAGAATGAAATTGTGAGAATTAAAACAAAATATATTTAAACATGTATTCCTTACGCAACTGATATTTTGTTTTATCATTTTTGTTTAAATTCGCCTAAGATGTTATATATATATTTTTTAACTTTCAATTTCTTTAATATTATTAACATCAAACAAGTACTCTTTTGGCAATTACAGGACGTTGTTGTTTTTAGTTAGCATTTATATAGCGCCTAATCCATTGAGGACCCAAAGACAGAAGGATGCACAGACGGTAGGCTGTTCAACCTCCCGAGACGCACGCAGGAGACCCACACCAAGACATAACATCAACTGAACCTGGAGTCGCCGACGGTGCTGCTCTTGTTGCACACAGAAACAGCCCTGCAGCATTAGCATCCAGCTTTCGCAGAGGCTACAAAACTCGTTGGAATGGAAGTGAGCTTAAAGAAGACAGAAGCTCTTCAACAGCCTGCATCTCAAAAAGTGTACCATTCTCCTCATTTTATCATTGGTGACACAGCAGAAGTCATGTAATGATTTCCGCTACCTAGTATGCTCCATGTATTTAGATGCCAAACTCGACAGACAGGCAAAAACAAACAGCACCCTTGGCAGGTTGTTCAAAAGACTGAGTCATCTATAAACACCACCTTCTACTTTTCGAACACGTCCCCAACATCCAACACTGAAGTTGTCAGTCAGGAGGTTATCAGCATCAAGACCATGCTGTTGAAGACGTAACTTTTTTTGGGTATGATATGTCTTCAGAATGAAGACATATCATTGTCTTGCCGAAGATTGCCCTGTAGGGCGAACTGTCTTCCTGTCTATATATATATATTATATATATATATTATATATATATATTATATATATATATATTAATATATTAATGATTAGACCTATCAAATGGATTAAATGCATCAATAACTGAAGGAGCTTTCCATTTCTGGATATTGTGTTGAAGTATAACATAACAATTTCCTTGTAATCAACCCACACTAGACACGTTTCAACGATCGGCTACATGCGAATTTGCAACATTTTAAAATATTCATGACAAAATTAAACAGTCCAACACGCATACACCTGTACCATTAACCTCTTACGTACACCTCCGCACTTACGTATGCATGTAGAAAGCACAACATAATATGTCTCAATAATAGAAAGAAAAAAAAAGTGTTCATGGTTTTAGTATACTATCTATGCATTATGCGCGTCTCAATAATAAAATAAAAAAAGTGTTCATGGTTTTAGTATACTATCTATGCATTATGCGCTTACTAAATCCCAACTTGATTGATTGCATAATTAAAGATCTCGCCTAGAGTAAGATTTCGTCGAAGCTTCTTATTCGGAGTACAACTTACTATCACTGTCACAAAAAAAGAGCATCCTTGGATCTATTGATCACGATATTGTATGAAAGCTAGCTATGTTCGGCAAGATGAAATATTAAATCGTTCAAATGTAGGCATCACATTTGATAAGTTTAAAGTGGTTCTTTCACTAACTGCCGTTTCCATATCTGACCGTATAATTCGTCTGCTTACGAGTGCTCGTCTTGCAATTATGACATGTAGCGCGCAAATCAAAGTTTGCGTCATTCACTTAGACGCGTTTTTACCGCAAACGTACGGTAAGAAACGCAAAGGCGGCGGCGTAGTAACACCAGTAGAGCTGTCAACCTTACCGTTTCCATACCAACCCTCTCTCCTTAGTTCGGCATGGCAGTGCCTAAATCGCCAAAACGCCAGAGTGGTGCCTAAAACGTCAAATCGCCAGAGCAAACGAGAGCTTTGCCCCGTACCCTATCGGGGCCCTACCCGGTCCCCAGTTCACCAGCATAATAGGGCCAGGAGGAAAATTAGACATGGTGTTCCGTACCCTTCGTTACGCGACTGCCCAAACTGTGTACACCATAATAACCTCCTGACAGACGCGTAGCAAAAGCAAACGCGTGCAGAAGTTGGCTAACGCGAACAGCGTATTGAAGTACGTGTGTTTAAATTGGTTGTAAGAGAATCGCTTTGATGACGTATACCGACTTCCACTAAACCGAATTCTTCCCTTTTTCAATTAATTTTCTTTATTGAACTTGGTTGTTATGATGTTGATTCTCTATTATTTACAGAGCTTATTATATGGTTATAATAATTAATGATTGTCCTAATGGTACGGTAATAAAGATTATCGTAATGTTTTGATGTTGATGAATATAGTGAACATGTCGATAAAATGACGGTAATGACAATGCTACCAATAATAATGGCAATGATTATGGTGATGTTGTGAAAACGTTGTAATTAATATTGAGACTGATACAGAGAGTTGATTTTATTATAGTTCATAAACTTATGCATGGAAAGTACGATATCGATCCTAAACAATTTAACACTATACCAGAAGAGTTGAAGAGCTAATAGGTAGTATAGGTAGTAGTATGAAGATTTTGAAAGATCGAAATACCACCAGACCACGCCGAAAATGCTTTTTACGGA